AAAGCCCTAAACCCTAAACCTCAAGAACCTAAACCCCTAAACCCCTAAACCCTGAACCCTAAAGCCTAAACCCCAAAACCCAAACCCCCTACGGGTCCATGTACCCGGGGTTTAGGGTTTAGGGATTCAGGGCGACTCCAAGGGATTCCTGAAGTGTTCACCGTAAGGGTTTTAAGGTATAAGGGTTTAGGGTTTAGGGTTTAGGTTCCATGATTAGGGTCCCTTTAAGGGTTGGGTTTTGGGTTTAGGGTTTAGGGTGTAGGGTTTAGGGTTTAGGGTTTAGGGTTTAGGGTTTAGGTTCCATGTACTGATGCACGATATACTTTGGCCCTGAAGTACCTATACAGGGAGCGCATTGAGACCCAAGTATATACTAGACAAGTACATGGACCCGTAATTAAGGCTTTCCGAAACCTTGAACCACAGAAACTTGCACCCTGAAACGCCTGTTCCGCACAGCTCTTTCACAGGTGCAGCGGCTCACTGAAATCGCCAGCGTCTCAACCATAGAATGGTCACGGCACTGTAAACATGCAGAGATACACAGTTTCTCGAAGTAAGGCATTAATGCAGGGGCCTTAATACTTAGAATGGGGTTCTGGGGGTTCCTTAATATAACAAAAATAATAAAGTATACCCCCAAACACTATTCTAATTATTAAGGCCTCTATAATATACAACTCTGCCTGGAGTAGCCAAGCTACCTTTAATGGACGATCGTGCAGATGCATTGGCCAGTGGACGCCCTTTAAGGCAAAAGCAAATGCCTGGATAGGTAGGTCGACATTCAAAGTTCTGTATCCCATGAATTCCGCAATGTGGACCAGCTGGAGTAGATCCCGCTACATATGTGATACTCCTGGACCCCCCCTCCCCCCCCACTACCTTATGTTTTGCCCCAAATACACACTAGGACCGCAAGGGCGCAAATTAAGGGCACTCGCGGGGTCCTCGTCAGTCGAAATAAGCCCTTGACCCGAGACACAAAGCCCCTAAACCCTAAACGCCTCAACCCTGCGAACCCCCTAAACCCTAAACTGGAAAGGGCACTTTAGGGTCCTGGTTGCAAGATCTCGGATCGCAAAATCTGAAACACGACAGGCTCCGCTCCTGGATCCCTGATTGGATCCCTTGTTGGAGCCCTTAAAAGCCTTAAAATGTAGGGGCCCCAATAATTATGATAGGGTTTTGGTATCTGGTCTACCAATAGTTATAGTAAGGACCACCCAAAAAATCTTCATAGATCAATCCAAGTATAGGTCCCTTAGAGGAGCCTTGAAGGCCAAAAAATGAAACCCTCACGGGGCAGCACGGGCCACCGAGATCGGCAAAACACGGATTTAGAGGACTACACCATAACTTCCAAGGTTCTTCGGGCTTAAAGATTGCCTTAATCTACGATAACCTGCTTCTTTTTAGTTCCGAATATACCCTACAAACACTCATATGGTATATCCTGACCCTACCAAACTATAGGGTTTGGTAGGTCAAGGCAAGGTTTAAGATTTAGGGTTTAGGGCTGAGGCGACAGATGCCCTTCTAGGGCTGAGTACGAGTACCCTGGGCCCCTCAATAATGAGGGCACCCTTTTTCCCACTATTTGGTCTTAATCAAGGAGCCCAAAAAGAACAAGGGCAAAAGGGTACTACTCGGGAAGCTGGTAAACCTGAAAAGGTTAAAAGTTACCTACTCAGCTACTAAGCGCCTGGGTACCTGAAAATAAGGCTTGAGCCGAAATCGCCAGTGTTAAGGGCTCCTTGACAAGGGGATCCGTGAATTAAAAGGATCGGTAAGGGCTCCTTTTCAGGAATCGATAACGGTTTGCTTAAGAGTCGGTTCTGAAATAAACCCTAAACCCTAAACCCTAAACCCTAAACCCTGAACCCAAAACCCTAAACCGAATTAGCCTAGCCCAAAAAGGCTGAAGTCCAAGACCCAAAACCCTAAAAAACCTTTAAACCCCCCCAAACCCTAAACCCCTAAACCCCCAAACCCTAAATCCCTGAACCCTAAACCCCTAAGCCCTAAATCCCTAAACCCCTAAACCCTAAACGTCCCAAGCCCTAACCTCACAGAACCGCAGCCAGGAAGTTCGAGGAAGCCTCCAAAGATCCTTTAACGGCTCCTTAACGGCACAGAAGTGCTTAGGGTTCAGGGTTTTTGGTGTGGGTTTGGGGTTTGGGGTTTGGGGGTTTGGGGTTTAGGGTTTAGGGTTTGGGGTTTGGGGTTCAGGGTTTAGGGCTTTGGGGTTTAGGGTTTGGGTTGGGTAGTATCATGTAGAATCCATGATGAATTCAATCCGTTTTTCAAA